CAATTTCTGACAGGTGGCAGTCCAGTTTCTTCTTGAAAGCCTCCAGGGATGAAGCTCCCACAATTTCCGAAGGCAACTTCTGTTCCATGGGTTGATTGCTCTCACAGACAGAAAATTCCTCGTTATTTCTAGGTTGAATCTCTCCTTGTTCAGTTTCCATCCATTATTCCTTGTATGGCCTTTGGGTGTCTTGGAGAATAGCTCGACCCCCTCCTCTCTGTGGCAGCCCCTCAAATATTGGAAGACAGTATCCTGTCTCCCCTGGTCCTTCTCCTCACTAGACTAGCCATGCCCAGTTCCTGCAACCGTTCATCGTATCTTTTAACCTCCAATCCCCTTATCATCCCGGTTGCTCTTCTCTGCACTCTTTCTACAGCAGAGGTCCCCAAACTACGGCCCGCGGGCCAGAGACGGCCCACCAAGGCCATTAATCTGGCCCACGCGAGACCACGAGGCTGCCCTGCCTTCATCACCCCAGCTACCTGGTGACCTTCACCCGCCTTCTGGGGTCTGAGGAGGCCAAAAACGGACCCCGTTTTGGACGGCAGAGTGATATTGGAGGCTGGGGAATCCAAACATGGGTTTGTTTTTTGGCCTCCCCGGCCTGGGGTGGGGGAAGGGAAGGAGGGGGAGAGAGAAACACACACACACACACACAAACACACACACACAAACACAGAAGTCCCTCACCCACCCACCCCAAGACAGCCATATCCCTTCACCAACCTGCTTTCCACCCCCAGGAGCATAACAAATTAAACTTTTAATTTGTGTGTATTGTTTACTGGACTGCTAAATTGGCCACATCCATGCAGTCACATGACCACCTAGCCACGCCCACCCAGCCAGTCCCGGGGCCCCCAACAGCCTGAAGGACCATGAATTGGCCCCCTTTTTAAAAAGGTTGCAGACCCCCAGTCTCAACATCTTGTTTTATAGTGTGGCGTCCAAAACTGGATTCAGTGTTCCAGATGTGGCCTTATTAAGGTTTTATAGAGTGGTGTTAGGTATCCAACATTACAAATTACGTTTGGTCCGGACATTCCCCCCTCCCCCCTATAAATAAATACCCAGACAACTTTTTAACAGATAAGCAGAGTTGGAAGGGACCTTGTAGGTCATCTAGTCCAACCCCCTCCGCCCAAGCAGGGTTACCAGCTAGTAATATTGGAAAGAGGGCCTTCCTCTCATTTAGAGGGCTTCAGGCGGGGGGAAACCCAGAATTTGGGAACTTGCATTTTGCAAGACCAGAGCAAGCGGGGAGGGGGTGTTTCCTTTTGCAGAAGGTGGTCTCAAAAGTCTATTTTTCCACCCCCCTCCCCACAGGTCATCCTTTCCTGGACGAAGACGCTGGCCTTCACCATACCGGCTGAAAACCACAAAACGAAAGGTCTGCATCTCCCAGTTTTCTCTAACGCAGTGTTTCTCAACCTTGGCAACTTGAAGATGTCCGGACTTCAACTCCNAATTGCTGCTACAGCGTGGAGTTTGGAGGATATCAGCCTGGCAGCTCTCCAAGCCTGATAAGGTCTGTGGTTGTTAATTCACCCTTGAAAGACTGTTGGTCAGGACTTTGCTGGAGAGGAATTCCCTTTAACCTAAATAAAAGGGGTTTTATTGGGATGAGGAATTGGCTTCGTGCTTTGAGGAAGCCTAGGTCGGAATAGGGGGTTAATGCTACTAGTTGCCCAGAGTTACCCGATTGAAGCCCGTTGAGTGGTGCCCTGCTTTGTCCACTGGCGTAGATTGGTCCGTGGGGACTAGGGAAGGACACTCCTGGGACAGGAAACACTTTGGTTAATCTCCCAGTTCTTGGAGAACCCAACTCTCATTCTACCTCATGTCAGTTCAGTTCTTGACCACAAGAACTTGTGTGTGTCTCTCTCTCTCGGCTTTTCTCCCACTGTGGATTACAAACCATGTAGGCCAAATCTGGCCCACAGATTGTCCCAAGAGGTCCACGTAGGCTTGAAGAAATGTTATGGTTTTATTTGAATTTTTTTTTTTTTTACTATATAAAGAAAGAGCAGCATTTTCAATGTCTGTATAAACCGTGTGTTGTCTGGCTACAGTTAATTTGAGCAATGGCCATCTTCATAATAGTAATGATGTCCAGAACCAAAACTGGATGCAGGACTCTAGGTGTGGCCTTACTAAAGCTTTATGGAGTGGTATTAGTACCTCTCTTAATCTTGATTGTATCCCTCTCTTAATGCAGCTTAGGATTGCGTTGGCTTTTTTGGCTGCCGCTGCACACAGCTGGCTCATATTTAATTGGTTGTCCACTAAGACACCCTCTCACAGTTACTGGCACAGCAGCACAGCCAATAGGATGGAATGGGCGTGGCCCAGCAGGAGAAAGCGCTTGAGCTAAACTGAGAATACCATCAAGTGGTCACCACCTGTAAAAAAGAGGTTGCGACTCTAGATAGAGTGCAAAGAATAGCAACCAGGATGATTAAGGGACTGGAGGCTAAATCATATGATAGATAGATAGATAGATAGATAGATAGATAGATAGATAGATAGATAGATAGATAGATAGATAGATAGATATATGATAGATAGATAGATAGATA